AGCAGAAGGTGTGCTTTTGATTTTGTGCATGTTCCTTTAAAATAGCTGCATTCTGTTAACAAAATATGTCCCAGAGACTGGGAGCCCCTGAATTATGCCTCTCCGTTCCTCTTGTTACCTTCAATTGCCTTCAGCAGTGATCAGTTCATCAGCCCAGGTGTAAAACAGAAGAGATATTTCAAGCCTTATCAATGCTTACTGAATTCCCTGGAATGACTTTCCTTCACTTCAGAGAGCTTTAGTTCATTAGCAGCTTGTCTCACTTCTTCTTGTATCTGTGAAAAGCTCTAGATTGCGTAGTAGAGCAAAGTTGAGTTTGTCAGTTAAATGGTTTTACAATCCAGTGACAACATGTTCTCCGAGAAACATACTGAAAGGTTGTGTTGAACTTGACATGCATTGACTGACCCTGAGGAACCTCTTGCTTCCCATCACTTAAAAGTAAGGAACAAACATAGCACAGAGCAACCAACCTTTTGTACGAAAGGTAAGGCCAAAATTAGCTGGGGATCCACAAAAATCTTTTTTAAAACAACAATAGTTCAGGATACTGCCTTTCATATCTTTCTTTGTTATTATTTACAGTGAGACTTCAACCATAATTACAATTATGAATAACGACAGACAGTGTTGTGGAGGTGGCATAACATTTTTGTGAATTTCCACAGTTACTGGAAAATGATTTTTGTAGTTGCTCAAGATTGAGTACAAGATAGGAGTTTAGACAAGGTGTATCTAAGTATTTTTGTCTTAGAACTTGATATACCTTGAATGGATTTTGTAAGGGAGTTATTTCTTTGTTGTTTGTTTCTTTTGCATGGAAATGAGAGGCATGTTCCTTAGGAGTAAAATTACAGGTCTAGGTAGCTGCAAATTTATAATGCATCAATCAAGATAGATCCAAATGTTTACCATCTGAAAGTTGTCTGCCAACCTGCACAAAAGAGATGTTGTGTCTAACCCAAGGCTCTATCTGAAGGCACAGAGAACATTCATAAGAGTATTGAGACACTGCCCTGCTCAAATTTACAGTTTGCCAACAGAGTCTTAATTTATGAACGGAAAAGTAGGTCCACATTTTCTAAAAGGCATTTCAGTGTCTAATATCCAAAGATTTCAAGACTGAAAGTACAGCTTCAAAATCTAAGTCTATAGATAAATATATAAAATAAAAGCTAGTCTTACCAGTGTATATGTATTGATGTATCTACATAGAAAAAAATCTACAGATTGATCATATGTAGTAAGTGATATCCATTAGTCAATTCTTAAGGACTTTGAAAAAATATTATAAGGTAATTTTAATGAAAGATGGTATTTTTCTAAGAAAATTCTTATTTTATTTCAACGCCTTTTGTTCTTCAGTAAGAAGTATTTTAATTTCTGTCCATTTTGTTCACTTGGATAAAATTTATTTTTACAATATATAGGGTTTATTTTGAAAGAAAGAACTTTTTTCATTACTATTCAAAAATGTTTGCTGCAAAAAAGAAAATACGCTTAGTACACAGATTCCATTTTTTTTCTCCGAATTTATTTTATCTGATCTATTTTGATTCCTTTCTTGCATCAGGCAAACTGGACTTCAGTCAAATGGTTGCATTGATCAGCTTACGTGTATAATATTTCACAGTGCTATATGAAACCTCTCCATGGTGTCTGTTGTTCTCAGGGCCTCATGTTGTCTCTGGGATTCCTGCCCTGAATTTATGTCTATTTCATCCCATTAAAACCACGGGGTGTTTAATGAAATTTGTTTCTATCATCTCAGTCTGTTTCAAAATATCCATGCTGTTATTTGTCTTTTACTGCTCCAGTATCAGTTATAAACAATGCAACAAATGCTTGAAAGTCTCACCTTCAACTTTGCAATTTAAGTCCTTGATTAATGAGGTGGAAGAGCTGTATAATGTTGATAATTTCCTTGTAAGTGGCAATAAATGATAAAAGTGGGTTGATGGGGAATGGATAGGTGGGGGTATAAGAGGCAGGTGTGAAAACTAGCTGGTGTGAAGAGATAGGGAGGACACAGTTGGAGCGAAGAAACAACCAGAATATAGCAAAGATTATCCAGCTAAAAGGGTGAAATCTGCTCTGGGTGGAATTATTTCAGCTAAATACAGGCACCTGGAAGTTAGGCATCTGTTTTAATTCAGCCTGATCCTCCATGGCTCCCTTTTCAGTCAATGGGAAGATTGACCTACCTGCAGATGACAGCATTATTGCCTTGGAGATGCTCATTTCCTCCCAGGGAGGTAGAGAGAGCTTTGGGCAATGAACTTGTCCCCATCCTGACTGTCTGTAGGCTCTTGCTTTTAGATCTACCCCTTGTATTTGGCTGGTTCCTCTTAGCAGTTTTTCCCCAATGCCTGTGTGCAGGCTGGTGATGTCCCTTCTGCTTTGATGAGACGTCATTTTTCCTTGCTGCTGAACACATAGCTCTGACATGAGCTCTGTCACCATGTGATAACATTGCTGCTACTTTGGCACATTAATAAACAGGCAATGCTTGGACTCTAGATCTCTTTCCTACCCATAACAATGCACCCATTAGATGGTCTTGTCACTGCATGTCTTCTCCTCTTCTATCATGTCAGGTCATATTTTGGAATTGCCCAAAAGTCTCCTTGGATAATAAAGCCAGGTTGTGTCCAGCTATCCGTAAGTCTTCTAAATAGAAAAGGGAAGTGTGCAAGGTCACAGAGATAATGCCACCCTGGTCTCTGGATGACTTTTTTTTTTAATACATAGATTTTCGTAGCCTTTTCCTGATTCTCCCAATGAATGTAACAGAACAAAATTGACATATTGTAGTAAATCCTGTGAAAATAAGCACTGACTGACTTCTCGCCCTGACCATTCCTTCTTGCAAAAAGGTATAGTTATGATCTACAACAAGATTTCAAGACCTCTGGCTCTGTGCCTGTAAAGTAATCCTAAACAGCACAACCTGGAATCTCTGAGGTTCGTTGCTTAGAATGGTTCCATCATGTAAGCTCACTAGACCTTAGAGAAGTCCAGCTTTGCAGAAAGGCTGTGGGATTTCAGGCTCTTTGGGAGGATTTACAGAACTCCAGAGATCCCAGTTCTTCCAACATTCATTGCTCCTGAGCATCCCTCAGGATACCTAGCCATAGAAACCTAGTAGCTGCAAAGACTCTGATCTCAGCTTTCATGGTGAGATTGCCCTGGAGTTGTGGATTTTGGGAATCAACCTTAGAACTTTGTACCTTCAAAGATGTGCCTTCAAAAAAACATGTCTGGAAAGCTCTACTGTGCCTGCATAAATTGTGTGTCTCACAAACACAGCATCCGTCAATCAACCTAGCTTCAAGTTCTCTGGAGTCCCATAAGGTCTCAGTAACTGTATTTATATATGGACTTTGCACTTAAATGCTTTGACTGGCAAGAAAGACTAAATTATCACATCTGCTTTACAGCCAGCAAAAATGTAGGATTTCCAGTTTTCCATTATCATTTGCTTGAAAAAGAACAAGCCCTGCATCAGTATGAACATAAAAGTTATCCTGAACCAAGAAAAAATTTAAAGCCACCAGCATTATGATGTCAAAGTATATTCAGAACTTTCAGCTTCCAAATTACTTCAACATTGCTGGTAGTTTCTATTAGTTATGTTTGTAATTCAAAATGATCAAATTTACAATAGCCATATACTCTCTTCCACTATTCTATAATAGGTCAGTCTTTCTCTGTTAATGTCAACTTTACAATTACATTTAATTTTCTGAAGCCCAGGAAGTGCTTGGAAAAATAGTCTGGCTTTTCACTCACAAAACAGATCAAATGCAGCAGCATTAGTCAGCATTTCTTTTTCAATCTGTATATAATTCTATTATATTTTAGGCAGTGCTATCAAAGCATATGGTGCTGAGCAACAGTCTTACAGACAACAGTCCTGTTGCATTTGTGTCAGTTCATGTCTCTGGCTGGTTGTGAATCACAGAATATCTCGGCAGAAGACTTTAATGAACCTCCAGCCTCTCACTTAAGCATTCATCTTGTTAATCGTCCCAATCAATTTCTGCTCTGTTTTGAAAGCATATTTTAAAGGGAATGCTTAACTGTGATGAATTACAAAAGAGTATATTTAGTTCTGTGAATGTGTGTATTGATTTCTGTAAAGCCTTTTTATTTGGGGCTCTTCTATCAATGCAACTGTCTGCTTTCTGTGCCATGGCAGTCTTCCCAGTGTCAAGATCCTGGGGCTACATCAGTATTATTAAATAAAAAAGAGGAAGGAACTATTCTTTAACACTGAGCCTTAGGGGCCATATTACACAGCCATATATATACATGGTCATATTACATCAGGTGTCCCCAGGCTCCCCTGGCACAATGGTGATTTTTATGTGCCGTTCTGCAGATGGAGCAAGGGTGATTCAGAGCAGTGTCTGAAATGTGAGGGATATATTGCAGCCCACAAAACAGCTGCTTTTATGACATGATGATGCTTAACATGTTATGCCTAAAAGGTGGTGGAAGAGCAAGCAGGGATATTTGCAAGTACAGAGACTGCAGGTTGAAGGTTGGAGGGGACTGTGGAGGGAAGGGGGAGCCAGGCCTGATGTCGTCATGTTCATGCTGTGTGTCAGGAGTGACTAGCTCTTTGAAGAGTAAGTGGTTAAGTCCTTTCAAAGGCTGAAACGGGCAGGCATTTAGGAGCCTGCCTAGTAGCCCTGTGAAAGTGTGTTCCCTTTGTGATGACACTTGGGCAGTTAACAGCAGCAGTGGACACTGTTAGTGGATATTGAACCCTGCCATGCAATAATATTCAACTATTTTCTCACTGTGACTCATCACAATTGATTGCAGCTTGAAAATAAATGTTAGCTTCCTCACAGTGCTATATTTTGTGTATTAGTTTTGTTTGATAACCTAAAGATAGAGCTGCAATCAGCCTGTTTAGGCTGTTGTAGACACTAAAATGGGTGTATCCCACTTTCCTGTCTACATGTTCCCACCATGGTCCTTTCTCAGAATGTGTTCCCCCAGCTCTGCGGAATGCTGAAATAGTGATGGTGACATGGCTGAAAATGAACCCTATGAAAATAAATGTTACTGGACCAGTCAGATGATTTGGATACTCCTGAAGCCATGATTGCTGGTGATGACACAGAAACAAGATGGGAACATGTGGCTAAGATTTGAGGGGAGAAGGTAGGGAGGAAGGGGGCCTTTCCTTTTGAAAGCACTAAGGAGACAGAGAGACTCAACCCAAAAAATTAAAATAAAAAGAAATTGTGCACCTCACGTCTATCGCCCTCCTGCCTTCCAAATAACTCAAAAACCTACCTGCCACAAACAAGAATAGACCAGGACTTACTTCTTAAGGGTCACATTTGAGAGAAGACACAAGTTTTCCATGCGGTCAACTAGAAGACCATTGAGACAAAATGTTAAGGTTCAAGGTGAATTAAACCCAAACTAGGGTGATGCAGGACTCTGTAGGCCCCTGCACGAAATCTGCTCAACATTTTCTAAAGGAACATATGATAAGCAGGTGGAGAAAAGCCATGTTGAATTAACGGTATCTCAAAATCTATATCTGAGAGACTGGCCTCTTTTGTGGTGAATTTTGTCCCTTTAATGAGCATAAAAGGAAGAAATTCCTTTAAGAAAATAATTAACTGTGAAAAATTAAAAGCTCTGTTGGTACTGTTATCAAAAAGCTCTGTAGATAATAATATGAAATATGCATTTAAATGTTCCATGTAGTTTTATCGTACCATATTATACAATAATGTGGAGTATCTTCTTCAAAGAGGTTTTAATATTTATAAGCATTAAAAAGTCTCCACACAGTTGTCTCTAGAGCTGTTAAACAAGTTCATGTCAGACAACTTGCAAAATTTCCCATTGGGATTGAATATTTCTGTATCACTTTGTGTACGGCACAATGCGTGCTCTGCACACACCTGAAAACAGTTTCCATTCTTTCGTGTCCCAAAGGAAACAATCTACAAAAAATACTCTGCTGGAGACACTACTCTTTCCTATGGAAAAGGGAGACTTTAGTTCAGCATTGACAACAACAATAGAAATTCTCTTCCTTATTATGTGGGTTCCAGTTGAAATAAATTGAAGTGTTGGATTGATTCCTGCAGTCATAAATTTTCCAGTTTGAATTATATTGCAGCAGATACTAAGAACAGAGTTGGCAGTGGTGACTGGTTTTAAGCCTCTTTTCATACTTAGGAGACGCTGGGAAAAGAGATTGAAGAAAGCCAAAGAAATTGCTTTTGTAAAAGCAGATGACTTTTTTATTTTTGTTTTGCCTGACAAATTAATTCCGGAAACATTAATGGGAAGATAAAATTTCACCTAACTAGATGTGTAATTTAGAGCATTTATCCACCTTCCTTTTATAGTTAATGTAAGGAGAATCAATCCATTGTGAGTTAAGTGTCTAGAACAGTCACAGTCTTTTTTCTTTAATATTCATACCTAATGAATTATGTTCTATTTACAGGTTTTATCTGGGGTGAAATTAAACAGATGTGGGATGGTGGACTACAGGACTACATTCATGATTGGTGGAACCTCATGGATTTTGTAATGAACTCCTTGTACTTAGCAACAATCTCTTTGAAAATTGTTGCTTTTTTAAAGGTAAACTTTTTTAAAATTCAACAAAATATTTAAGATAAATGAAATTAGGCTTCTTCAAACTTTCTTCTGTATTTGGAGGTTCTCAAGCTTAGCAGTGCAAGAGATGTATGATGTGCTTATTGAATCTTCTGCAGCTCTGACAAGAAGCTAGACCAGGATACGAGCGAACAAAAACATTGTGATTTATACTTTTTACTTCTTGGCCTAGGCAATCTTTTGTTATTTGATCCTGAACAGTCATACTGTCATTTTCTTGGAAAGGAAAAATCACTGGTAATATTTAATAATGTTTGCACAAAATTATGTTTTGTGTTAGTCTTTGCCTGTTTTTCAGTAAGAAATTTTTGCCTCTAAGACAATTTCACACATGGTGCAAAACTTCCAGACAGTACTGCAAGAAAAATTACGAGGGGGGAAAAAAGATAGAGAGCAAGATTTTAATTTTGTTTTGAAAATTTATGATAAGTGCAACATGAAAAAGTAAAGCTGAAGGGGATAAAATGGTTACCTGTGGCTGGGCATGTTCATTTTCTCATCCTTTTCATGGACTTTTTATGAATATTTTTATATTTCTGCTGTTTGAAGTATCTTCCAGCAAAACAGCCCTTGTTTCCGAAGCCATGGAACAAGTCACGTTTTGTATGCATTCAGCATTAATCCATAATATGATAGAAATTCCTCATAAAATGAAATATTTTAATCAACAAATGGTCTCAAGTGCAAGGAAACCACATCTGAAAGGAAATGAAAGCATTTCTTAGCATCTGTCATGGAGCTGTTATCACATCCAAGTAAAGATAACAAGTCCATTTTTACTGACCACTGTGATCAGCATTGTATTTCAGCTGTTTCAAGTTCCCTGCCACCGGCTACCCTGTATGCATGGAAAGGAGAGTCTCTCCTCTGCCAGGATGCTTTTGGCTGGGAAAAGGAGACAGCCGTCAAGTAGCTGGTTACAGCTCCCCATCCTCAAACAGCAGCTGTTCCTGTGGCAGCCCTGCCCTAAGTATAGGATCCTCTAATTTATATCATCTTGTGTCTGTTCACAAGGGTCCACATGTCACCCGGTCAGGGGCAGGGATGAGCTAAGACCTGTGATCTGACACACCAGCCTCCTCCTGTGACAAAAGCTTTCTGGCGTGCTGGGTCTCTGGCTCCAAACCTTTGGAAGTCTTTTCACTCAAAGAAATTTGGAGCTGTTGCCTGAAAAAGCAAGATGCTCAAAAGTGTGAGGAGAGCTGTCATTTAAAGCTAATTAAGTGCCTTTTTCCACACAAGGATGCCTTATCATAAAGTGACTGGAAAATAGTAATTTCACTGTCCCTTGTAACAAAGCAAGAAGTTCGTTGAAAATGCATGTTTCCAAAGCATTGGAGATGGTCAGTTACTCACTTTAGAATAATATTAATTAGAGGACATCTAATTAATCCTTTCACGTCCCAGAGAACTTCTGCTTACGGCAATCAGATTCCAAGGTGACAGTATCTGGGATAATGTGCATCCATTACTCTCCAAATTAGTGCCTGCTTGCCAGTCATAATCAACACACTGCATAAAGCACTGTCTTTGGTTCTGTGGCTATTATTTTTTTGCTGCATGTGCAAAGTTGCACCCAAAACCTTTTTTGTTCCTTAAAAGAGCCTCAGTTGTGGTAGTCAATTGAAACGCATGACTATATAATGAACAGAGGAATACAAGTGTAATTTAATGCAGTCACACTTCCTTTTAATACTTACAACAGAGCTCCCCATCTTTATGCCAGATGAGATTGAGAGGATGCCAAATGTAACCAGTACATTTTGACGTAAAGCTTTTATTTTCATTTCCTAAACCTTGCAAGACAGGTTTTTCTAAAATACAGCTTTTCTGTATTTAATGAATCGAATATACAAGCCCAGTTTTTAGATGTATTCTATCTTCTGTGGATCAGCTCAAGCCACCTCAGAAAACATGTTAACTAACTCCCTTGAAAAAAATTATGAGTGCCCCCATGCTACTCTCCTGTGTGATAAATGTTTAAAAAAAAAAACCCTGTAGTGTTTGTTGCCCATTCAAGACTCTCTGACTGACACAGTCGTTAAGCAGATGGATATTATTTACAGCAGCTGGTGGGATAGTGTAAAATACACCAAAGAGTGTAATTCAGGATGAGAGAACTGCTAAGATAACTCAAAGTTATCTGCTTCATTGCCAGTATTCAAATAAAATAAGTACATCTCATATTTTTCAAAGAGCTACGCTTTTTGTCTCTGATTGTATATCAACATGTGAGGTCTTTTAAAATTATCCAGTATATCCACTGAAAATG